AAAAAAAAAAAAAAAAAAAAAAAAAAAAAGGCACTGAATATAGGTTTATTAATAACTCTAAAATGTAGGACAGTGCCTGTGGCTCAGTGGGTAGGGCATCAGCCCCATATACCAAGGGTGGCGGGTTCAAACCCGGCCCTGGCCAAACTGCAACAAAAAAATAGCCAGGCATTGTAGCAAGTGCCAATAGTCCCAGCTACTCGGGAGCCTGAGGCAAAAGAATTACCTAAGCCCAGGAGTTGGAGGTTGCTATGAGCTATGATGCCAGGATACTCTACCAAGGGCGATAAAGGTGAGACTCTGTCTCTAAAAAGAAAAAAATAAAATAAAATAAAAAATAACTCTAAAATGTACATTAGAAAAGAACCATTAAAAAAAAAAGAAAGAAAAGAACCATCAATTTGTTTCCTGGAATCCTGGTTAAGTATAAAATACTACTTTTAATTAATAAACATTACAATCAAACTAGAAAGACTAAATATACTTAATCAGGAGAACTAAAAATCCATATGCCTGGCATGAGCTTATCTCACCTTTTGGATTTCTAAATGAGAGTCAGAGTCATCCAAAAACTCTAGGGGTGGTGAGTGTTTGTCAATGACTGTCCTTCGGTCACCATGTGGCTCAAGTGGCTCCTCACTGGATTTCTCCTCAGGGTCCATAACCACTCTCCTGTGGCAAAAGCTGTTCCTCTCTGGCCCAGTCTTTTCCTCCTCCACTCCAACCTCTGGGACGGATTCTTTCTCCTTCTGAGGAGTTGTGACTTTGACATTCCTAACTGGTCCTTCACTCCTGACCAGTCCTTCTCCACTCCTGGTTGGTCCTTCACTCCTGACCGGTCCTTCTCCACTCCTGGTTGGTCCTTCACTCCTGACCGGTCCTTCTCCACTCCTGGTTGGTCCTTCTCCACTCCTGGTCAGTCCTTCACTCCTCACAGGTCCTTCACTCCTGGCAGGTTCTTTTGCACGGCTGGGACGCTCTCCTATGCTTGGTTTTGCCCTAGCAGTGGCCTCTCCCTTCCTTTTTGGCATCGATTTCCCCAGGATGCCCTGAATAGCCTTCAGGTAGATCATTGTAGAGCCCTGGTCTCGAAGTCTATCCCTCTTCCTTTTCTGGAGCTTGTTTGGCTCCTCAGTTGTATCATTCTGACCCTCAGCTTCAGCTGCACATTCAGAATTCGTTGAGTTATGAGAACTATCATTGGAATCAACCTGGAATAAAAAACAAGAGATTTTGAAAACACTGTCCCAAGAGTATTGTACATGAAGCATTTGGCAAATTATAAATCAGTAGTGGCTACAAAGGGAAAGTGGCTAAGGCAAAGATTCTGTCCAAGTGGTGGTTTTCGTCCCACTCCACTGAGAAGTGCCACCAAGAAAGGGTCTGAATTGCTGTCACCTTATGTTTATCAGATGATATCTATCCTCTTAATACAGTAAGATAACGAGCTGAAATTAACAGTTTAATTATACTAGACTATAAACACATAAAAGGTAAGGACTACTACACACTTCAAAGCACACAAAGGCAAAACAAAAGCTCAAAATTTTCCCACTAGGCTCGGCGCCTGTGGCTCAATCGGCTAAGGCGCCAGCCACATACACCTAAGGTGGCGGGTTCAAATCCCTAGCCCGGGCCCGCCAAACAACGATGGCTGCAACAACAACAAAAAAAAAATGGCTGGCGCTGTGGTGGGCGCCTGTAGTCCCAGCTACTTGGGAGCCTGAGGCAGGAGACTCGCTTGAGCCCAGGAGCTGGAGGTTGCTGTAAGCTGGGAGGCCATAGCACTCTACCCAGGGGGATAGCTTGAGGCTCCGTCTCAAAAAAAAAAAAAATTCCCACTAAATAGGTCCCTTGGAAACCAGCTAGCCCAATCCCATATCTAAGAGTCAAAGAAACCTAAGACCCAGTTAGGGGAAGGGCTGGCCCAAGGGACCCCAATCTCCTAAATCTTCAGTGCAGTATTCTTTTCACTTTCCCCAAACTCCTCAGAAGTACTCTGCAACCATCTTCCCTCAAATCATAACCTTGATGTTGGAAAGTGTTTCAGGCTCCCAAGGAATGCACTGAGGTCAATCAAGTGACTCTAATTCCCCCCCATCTGAAATTTCCTCATAGTCAGAGGTGAAGCCTCAGCCCCCTTCTTCATTTCCCTCCCCTACCCACTCACTCAAGGAGTCTACAGGGAAAAAAATTAGATTATTTGTCTGCAAAATTTGCTATAGAAACTCTGAATCCAGTCGAATTGCAGCCCTGGTGTAAGAACACTCCGTAAGTCTCCCCTCCAGTCATTCTGTAAGCAGTAGACCATTACCCTATGCATTCCACATCCTCTAAAATAAAACTTTTTTAAATTTTTGAGTATTGAATTCCTCTCAAAAGTAAATACACTCGGCTCAGCGCCTGTGGCTCTTGTGGCTAAGGCGCCAGCCACATACACCTAAGGTGGTGGGTTCGAATCCAGCCCAGGCCTGCCAAACAACAATGATGCTGCAACCAAAAAACAGCCGGGCATTGTGGCAGGCGCCTGTGGTCCCAGCTACTTGGGAGGCGGAGGCAGGAGACTCGCTTGAGCCCAGGAGTTGGAGGTGCTGTGAGCTGTCAAGTCACAGCACTCTACCCAGGGGGACAGCTTGAGGCTCTGCCTCAAAAAAAAAAAAAAAAAAAAAGCAAATACACTGAGGGAGAGAAACTCCACATACTAACCTCATTAATATTTTTCCTCTAATGAGGAAAAGAAGAATCTTTTCCAAGGAATGTCCAGAAATAAAGGAACAGTTTAATAGTTACATACCTTTAAAAACATTGCAGCTTTTTAAAAGGAAAGGTTGCTCTAATGTTCATGCTACGTAATAGGAGTTAAAAAAAAAAAAAAAAAAAAGGAGCTGACTAACAAATACAAAGTATTCTCACTTTTGAAAAGACAAAAACATTTTATATGTATATACTTACAAAGCCTAAAAAGATATCTTTGGGATAAGGAGTGGAAAAAGGCTTAGGCTCTTATAAGCTTGTATAGTTTGATGTTTTTTCTTCCAAGAAGCACATAGTATCTTTTTTGTTTGTTTCTGAGACAGAGTCTCACTATGTTGCCCTTGGTAGAGTGTACTGGCCTCACAGCTCATAGCAACCTCAAACTCTGGGGCTTAAGCCATCCTCTTGGACTCACCAGCCTCTGTGCATGTGTCTGGCGCTGTAACCAGCCAACACATAGTATCTTTGTTTTTTTTTTAAAAAACTTCTTTTAAAGAGGAGGTCTAGCACTTTGGGAAACTAAGGCAAGAGAACAGCTTGAGGCCAAGAGTTTGAGATCATCCTGGGCAACATAGTAAGACTCCCCAAGACGTCCCCCCCCACATCTCTACTAAAAACAAAGTTTTTTGTTTTTGTTTTTGCAGTTTTTGGCCGGGGCTGGGTTTGAACCCACCACCTCCAGCATATAGGGCCAGAGCCTTACTCCTTTGAGCCACAGGCGCTGCCCAAAAAAACCAAAAAAGTTTTAATTGGCTGGGCATGGTGGAACATGTCTGTAGTCCCAGCTACTCAGAAGGCTACTAGAAGGACTACTTAAGCCCAGGAATTTGAGGTCACAGAGAATTACAATCACATCACTGTACTCTAGCTTGGGAAACCTAGTGAAACCCAAGTCTCAAAAAAGGTTGGGTTTTTTTTTTTTTTTTGAGACAGTCTTACTATGTCACCCTCAGCAGAGTGCTGTGGTGTCACAGCTCACAGCCATCTCAAATTCTTGGGCGTCAGTGATTCTCTTGCCTCAGCCTTCCAAGTAGCTGGGACTACAAGCGCCTGCCACGCCTGGCTATTTTCTGTTGCAGTTGCCATAGTTGATTTAGCTGGGCAGGGCCAGATTTGAACCCACCAGCCTCAGCGTATGTGGTCGGCGCCATAACCACTGTGCTATGGGTATCGAGCCCAAATCTAAAAAAAAGTAAAAATAAAACATTATCCTGACTCAAGGACCAGAGGAAAAAAAAATAAATTTTTTAAAAATCATTTAACCTCACTTTGGGAGGCCAAGGTGGGTGAACTGCCTGACCTTACAGATTGGAGACCACCCTAAGCCAGAGCGAGACTCAGCCCCTAAAAATAGCCAGTCATGGCTC